ATAAAAAAAAAGAAGTGCTAAAAAAAAATTGACAGGGACAAATAAAGGAAATTAACAACGAGCTTGCACCGCGAGTTCGAAACAATGAGGATGGAGAACCGCATTGTACCGATACGCCGCGCGTTTTGTCTAGGCACCGCGCGCACCTTTAACGAGTCGCGAGCGTCAACTTGCGAGAGCGTGCAACCTTTTTCCATTTTTTTTTTTTTTCGAGAGAGAGAGAAGAGAGCGCGTGTTTAAACAATATCGTGGTACAAAGACGATTGAATTGGTCCGCTAGTACGCGAAGCAATTAAAACTTCTCGCTCGTTTCGCGCGACAATTTCGACCGTTCCCCGGGGCCGAATAAACGTTCGACAATCCTCTTTGGAAGAATCGTCGACTTGTCAAAGAACTCGTGACAGTAGACAGAGGCTGTAATTTTCCCATAAGCGCATGTACGCGGATGAAATATGCACGTGGAATTAATTGCAGTCTGATCCTGATAGATGCACGAGTATAGATTTAATGAGGTGGGGAGGGGGGAATGCGCAGGATGTAACGTACATAGGCTCGTTCAGAATTAAAGGAGACGATGGAAAGCAAATTGGCGACTTGTTCTTATTGTCAGAGTCTCCGTGAATTCTTCGAACCCGAAATTTTTAGTTTAAACGCGTGCAGCGTTTGACTTGAGGATATTTGTGCGGAATCGCGTTTATAAGGGCGTGATTGAAGGAATGAAAAGATGCTAGATTAGATTTTGATTTTTGTATATAATACGCACTATGATACACGCGCTATTTTTGCTTCTTAAAGTTTCTCATAATATAATAATGACGAATAGAAACGTTCGATTGGGGAGATCTTTCTGTACAAAAGTTGACAATTCACGATGTGAAATACTAATTGAAATATATCACTGTTTGAAAATAAATCGGATTCGATGTGTACGTTCCATCAAAGTCTTTAAGCACTTTATAAATTATGAACTACGAAACGTGATTACTTAAAAAAAAGAAAAAAAGAAAACCCAATGTGGTTCAATTTTTGTTAAACTTAGAGCAAGTATAACAATTGTCCTAAAACTTTCGAGATCTGGCGCACACCTGCGTTGAGAATTAATTTTCAACGAATTTAATTATTGAAGTTAATTTTTTATTCGTTAGAATGCATCTAGCGTACGTGTCGATTGTTCCGATTTCTATCGAGAGCATTAGGATTCCGGTCAGAAAGTGGAGGATTTCCGTGTAGCGAGGTTAGACAAACGACGCGACGAAAGCGGAACAGAACAGACGAAAAAAGAACTCGGCGAAATTTAATTTCTCGAGAACATCCAGAACGCTGAACACGTGCTCGGTTCGAATGATATCGTAGACTTAGTACTGGATTTGTTACATTCTTCGTTTCACGCTGTTTACTGAGACCAAACATCGATCGTATTCGTGACTCGAAATGATTAACACAATTAGATAATCTCTAATCTTTTTTTTTAAACTGATGAGAACCTAAACATTTTGCCACTCGAGATTACGCTATCGATCGTTGTACGAAAATCTACTTTTATCACAGTTTATTATGTATATCACTGATCAATCTACTGCGCTCAATATTCGCGCTATATATTATAAAGGTCCAGGACAGGGGAATAAAAGAACTAAGAAAAGAAGACGAATGAAAATTTAACTGGACGAAATACGAACGTGTGAAATATTCAGACAAGAAAGTAGAAATACGAATGTAATCCCAAAAACGGACGACGTTCGATTGTAATTCATGATGGAGAGAAATAACTTTCGTGAGTTCCAACTGTCGATATTCAATTAAAGAATTCTACTTTTATTTTTATTTTAACATCAGACATTTTATCTTTGATTCATAGACATCCCATTGGTGAAAATATCCGATACGACGCATCGTAAGTATGGAGGAACGACATTATTCGTGACACTTTGATCTGTATCGATTCCCTTTGGAAATTAACCACTAAGGTGCTTTCTCAAAAATTTTCTATCATTTATTTCTGTGTCTAAAATATTACAAATTTCAGGTCACGGTATTGATATTTTTGACAAAACTTTTATCCCGTTATCTCGAATTGAATCCAATCCATTTTGAAAGAAAATCTTATCAAAAGCCTGTGATAGAAATCGGTCCTTTTTAAATATTACAAATATATTAAAATGTTCCTCTCTATCTCTGGCTAGATTTTCCGTTGGTAAAACTGTTAATAGAACAAATGAACTTTTCTCTGATAATTCAACGGGCTAAATGCGCATTATGGAACTGCTCATCCGATATGAAATATCGACTTTTCGATTAATTTCTATTTCTATCGCGTTGCTATTACATTCGACATACGCCGAGTTCTCGCGTGGATGAGACGACTTTGTAGGCGATAGCGATTCCCTACGGTCGATCTAATAGCTAAAGCACGTTGTAGATCAACGGGAACGAAGACAGTATCCTTGACAGTCGCTTGATCTGTGGCGGTGCCTTGTGCATTTACCCCAGAGTGCTTTCCATCAGTCCCCAATTCCCATAAGATCTCCGCTATATGGTCTCCGATTCCATGAAATGAACGATTCGCTCCAAACGCTTGCACGTCGAAGATATGGGTTTCTAAATAGCTACGCTGACAAGTTCGCTAACGGATAATAGACAAAACGTGCCAAGGATCACGAGTGATCCGGAATATTGGTATGCTCGCAGCGTGTTACCATGTTCTGCGCCAGTGAATTCTCAGGAATTTCGCAACTTTACGGGCATCGCTCATTGTTTTTAAATTTAAATCCCAATACAATTCGTGTTTGTTTAATTTCTACGTAATATCTTTAGTCCACTTTAAATTTATTTCTGCGTAAGTTACAAGCAGAATCTTTCGTTACACGTAATTTCACTTAACTGTGCAGCACCAACACAGTAATAAGTTCCGTTCGGACATGTGCATATTCCTTAGTTTCAATATCGTCACTTGATTATTAAGGATTCTGTTTTCCGTGAAATTCCTTTGCAGCGAGCTATGATCAAACTTGGCGGACTTTGAACTGTCACTGTGAACTTACTAGAGAGAGAGAGAGAGAGAGAGAGAGAGAGAGAGA